AATCTATCTCTTGAATAGATTAACATGTATCTTGTTTGTTGTACCTATATTAATAAAATTAGCATATAATTGGTTGTTGAAGTATAAAATTGTCAATATGTTAAGTTACAATCACTATTTGTTGCTCAATTTAATAAGAAAGTTCACTGAAAAGAAATTGTTTAGCTTGTTATCACTAGATTTGCACTTCATATTTAACTTTGCAAAGATTTAAGAAGTTAAGGTAGCCCTTAGAAGTTGTGCATGACACTGCATGTGAATAATGTGATGTAAGTTCATGTGTAAAAAAATAAGTAGGAAAATAGGTGAAGAAGATTGTTATAAAAGATGATTCTTTCTGACATAATATAAATTATACTTTGAAGACAACAAGACCTTTAGTTAAAGTAATAAGAATGGTTGATGGTGAGAAGACCTCAACAATGAGATTTATTTATGAAATTATAGATTAAGTTAAAGAGAGCATATAAGAGATTTGAGGGGTTAAGAAGGTGCCTACAAAAAAAATTGAGAAATTATAAATGACAAGGGAGATTAGTAGTTATCCCAACATCTACATGTTATTGTATATTATTTGAACTCTCAATTTTATTATGATACAGATTTTCGTGTAGATAAAGAGATAAAAAATAGTTTATATGCATGCATAGATAGGTTTTTTCCTTATGATGACTACCTCAATGCAAAGGATCAGGTTGAGAATTTTCTTTTAAAAAATGGAATGTTTGAACTTAGAGTAGTTCAAGCATGTTATAAAACACACACTCTCGGTACCTTAGCATTTATTTATGATTTTAAATTTAAATGTTTATGTTTAAACTTCAATACTTAAATATATGTTAATAATATACTTTTTATTTAATATAGAATGTTAGTAGGCCCATTTCGAAGACGATATTTCTGAACTTAAATTATTTGCAGTTAAAGTTCTTAGCCTAATATATTTGGTTTTTGCATGTGAGCGTAATTGGTGCACCTTCGACCAAATCAATATAAAGAGAATGAATCCATCTGCTACAGGATGTATAAACAAGCTTGTTTATATTGTGTTTAACAAAAAAAATTAAAAAGTAGGCACCTTAAATTACAAAAGCGAAGAATTGATGATGATGAATTGAAACATTTAGTTGTTGATGACTTGCAATATGATGATGAATGAGAAATACTTAGAAGTTTTGATATTCTTTAAGTTGTTGTGAAGGACAGACTTATGATGATGAGAAGAATGAAACAATCAATATTGGCATCGAAAGATCTATTGAATTAGGAGTTGCTTCTACCTCGCAAGTATATATAAAAAAAAAACAAAGTGGCGTTAGAGCTATAAAAAATCTAAAGATAATCTTAAATATAATGAATTATTTTTTGTATTATTAATTTATTTTTTAATTTTAGATTATATCTAATGAAATATAAATTGGTTTAGGGGATATGAAAAAAAATACTATTACTAAAAAAGATTTCGAAGATGACTTCGATATAAACTACGATGATTCTTTTGAAGAATGTAAAAATAAAGATGAAACTGTGTTTGGTTTTGATCCTTAGTGCGTATTTAAGTTTTAAGTGAGTATTGAAATTGATTTTTGTTTTAAACTCTTATGTTCTAATAACTTTTACTTTCAAATAAGTCATTAAGTTGATAATTTATTTAATTTTTGTCATTTTTATGAATTATTTATAATGTTTGTAGTATTTTTTTTAGGCTTACACTTTGCCTCACAGCACCTTCGACCAAATCAATATAAAGATAATGAAGCTTGTTTATATTGTGTTTAACAAAATAAAAATAAAAAGTAGGCACCTTAAATTACAAAAGCAAAGAATTGATGATGATGAATTGAAACATTTAGTTGTTGATGACTTGCAATATGATGATGAATGAGAAATACCTAGAAGTTTTGATATTCTTTAAGTTGTTGTGAAGGACAGACTTATGATGATGAGAAGAATGAAACAATCAATATTGGCATCGAAAGATCTATTGAATTAGGAGTTGCTTCTACCTCGCAAGTATATATATAAAAAAACAAAGTGGCGTTAGAGCTATAAAAAATCTAAAGATAATCTTAAATATAATGAATTATTTTTTAATTTTAGATTATATCTAATGAAATATAAATTGGTTTAGGGGATATGAAAAAAATATTATTACTAAAAAAGATTTCGAAGATGACTTCGATATAAACTACGATGATTCTTTTGAAGAATGTAAAAATAAAGATGAAACTGTGTTTGGTTTTGATCCTTAGTGCGTATTTAAGTTTTAAGTGAGTATTGAAATTGATTTTTGTTTTAAACTCTTATGTTCTAATAACTTTTACTTTCAAATAAGTCATTAAGTTGATAATTTATTTAATTTTTGTCATTTTTATGAATTATTTATAATGTTTGTAGTATTTTTTTTAGGCTTACACTTTGCCTCACAGAGACAAAAACATCTTGATTCCAGATTTGCCAATTTAAACGTTGGATCTAGCTCAAGTGAAGTGCATTAAGGATGATGATAAAAAATATTTATATTAGAAGATAATATTCAACATAGGTGGATGTGATATTTCGATAAAGTTTTCAACGAAGATGGTGAGAATACGATTAATTTTAGTGACCTTGACACTTTCAATGATAATAGAGATTCTTTGTTTTTCACGTTGTCTCAGTAAAATCAAAGTTTGTGATTTTTAAAGAAAATGAAGTTTGGAAAGCTGTTGTACTTACCGATATCCCAATAGAGGTTTGGAAATGCTTAGAAGTTGAAGGAATTTTTTGGCTTACTAATTTTTTTAATATTATTTTGAGAACTAAAATGATGTCAAATGAGTGGAGAAGAAGTATGCTGGCTCATATTTTTAAGAATACAGGTGATGCACAATAGTGTGCGAATTATAGAGGAAATAAGATAATGTGTCATACTTTAAAATTACGGGAGAGAATACTTGAGAGCATTACATATGACATGATACTAATGTTTCTCAAAATCAGTTTGGATTCATGCCAGGTAAGTCTACTATGGAAGCTATACATTTATTGAGAGGTTTGATGTAGAAGTATAAAGAGAATTAGGAGGATCTAAATATGATATTTATTGATTTAAAAAAAGCGTATGATAAAACTTCAAGAGAAGTGCTCTGGAGAGTTCTAGAAAAGAAATGAGTTAATAATGCTTTTATTCAAGTCATTAAGGATATGTATACAAGTGTTATTACTTGTGTTCAAACACGAAGTGGTTTGACCTAGGAATGTCGATATTTGACTTGACCCCAAACCCAACCTGGACCCGAAATCTGTTTGCCAGACGGATCGGGTTCAGGTTTTATTTTCTGACTCGTTTCTAAAATTGGGTCGGATTCGGGTTGACCTGAAAACCCGAAATGACCCGGATTGCCCTTGTGTGCTCGTGTTTGCCCTCTCGAGCTCGCTTCTGCACCCGGACAAGTATTCACATAACTCCCCCTCCCTCTTAAGGATTGTTTATATGCATGCCATGCAATGGTCATCATCACAACAAGTATTCACACATACATTTCAAAAAAAAAAAGTATTCAATTATACTATTTGCTCCATACTCATAGATTTGTAATTAGGTCACGGGTGATTCTTTTACCCATGAGTCATATATGCTATTCTCTTTCTTCAAAAACTTTACACCTGATATTATACCCAAAAGTTTGTATTAGATTATTTTACATGCCTATTGGAATTTAATGATATTTATCTCTATGAAAACAAAAATGCTTACCTTGTAATCCATACATCTCTCTTCGTGATATCAATATTTGAAGTAGGGTTGTAAGCTAACTAATGTACTCTATAGACAACTCAATTCTTCTTCATATGAGGCTCATATCTCTCTCTCTCTCTCTCTATATATATATATATATATATGTGTGTGTGTGTGTGTGTGTGTTTTAACAGGTAAAATGACCAAAATGTCCCTCAATTATATTGAATGATCATTTTGTCCTTCAATTCTTTAAAGAGGAATCAAAATAGTCCCATCATGAGATTATTTTGGTTCATCTTTAAAGACTTGAGGGGCTAAAATGGTCCTTTAATATGGTTAAGGACCATTTTTATCCTTCATAAAGTGTTAATGAACCATTTTTGGTCCGTTTCTCTTTATTTATATAATCTAGCAAGTTTGAACAAAAATTTTAAAGCTCTATATATAAATGAATAGCTTGAATGCTGACCCACTCATTCACTTATGTTATTGAACTTGCTCTTTTGTTGTTTAGCAAATAACTCGCGAAGAGTTCGATAACATGATCATTTAATGATGAATTGCTTATTTCATGATTTATTTTGTTTTATTGAATTAATTTTCTTTTATCCTATGTTGTTTAAAAGTTATCTATATTACTAGAAGCACAAATATTATGAAAATATTGAGTAGATACCTAGATGGGTTGATTTAATTCTAATTTTTTTTCTTAATAAATTTTGATAGTGAAAATATTGAACATATAGCTAGATGGATGGGTTAAAATCTAATTTACTTTGAAAATTGCACTAAAATGAATGTTGAATGAATAATGCTAATTTTGATAAACTATACGGATATATTTTTGGTTATTTATTAGACTATTTTTTTAAATAATTGACATGCTATATGTTTATTTAGGCTCAATTAATACTCAAATATGGTTTTAACATTTGATTCGTGTTCAAGTTTGGCTCAAACATGATAAGAAAATAAATAAGCAAGCTTAAGCAAGATAGTAATTTACTTGACTCAGTTTTAATTCCAGTAAGCTCAAGATTCAAAGCTTAGCTCTATCATTTGGGCAGTCAATAGATCATAATTTTCTTTACAAAAGATGCTACCAAATATTTTATTCACTGCGACAATTTACCAGGGAGGATTTGAGTTTACTTTATCATAATGGGCTTTACTATAATGATGGTAGTGTGATGATTTACTTTAATTATTCAGCTTTCTTTTACCTAGCTTGGTTCCGATATATTAAAACTATTTTTTTTTTATTATTTTATGTCAGAATATTCGTTATCTCAAAAGCAAGCTGAAGCCTTATTAGATATAACGTTGAGGAAACTTACTTTGCTTGAGGTATCGTGCACATCTCTTATCCTGGATGTCCTCTTCTCGTATGTTTGAATTTTGTGCAATTATCTTGTTTTATGTATCTTATAGTTGAATGCTAATGCAACTTTTGCAGAGAAAGAAATTTGTTCATGAAAGTGAATCACTGTCGGAGCAAATATCAAAACTAAATGAGCTTCTGTCTAATAAGAAAAACATACTAAAGGTAACTTAGCTTTTATGATTTTTCTTTGTAATTGGTCGACTACTTGTTTTTTCATCGTTGGTATCTTGTTGGTGTCTTTCTGGTGCGCAATATGTTTTTCTCGTTATGTGCGTTTTGTGCATGATTGACTAGTCAACTTATTGCAAATTAAGATCTCATTTCCATTCTTATGTTTATAACTACATCTGTTAAATGTATAAACAGCTTGACAGCAGTTGATTTTCTAACTTGAAAATTAGGTGTAGGTCCTTTTCCAAAGATTTTGGGACTCCGTGTATCTTGACCTTAGCTACATTTAAATTAATCCAATGAACTGGAAACAGTGCAAGGATTATAGAATGCTGGATCTATATGGTTACTACCTGTTGATTAAGCAAGATGGAACAAATGCTGGAAATTGGAAGTAGAACTATTTTATTTCGAAGAAGTTCCCTTTAATTATTGAATATTTTTTGTATGATGAAGTGTAACAACTTAATTGCATTGATATATGTTAAATTTAGAGAATTGGAGAGGAAAAAAGCTTAATTTTATTATACAAAATTATTCATATTTATAGATCTATACTATATATCTTAATAAAGAACCAATTAAATACGGAATCATGCATAATTGCCCTAATATAATTGTTAGAGAATTTTTGTAGTCCTCAAACGGATTACATATTTTATGATTGAGCACGACATAAAAATAATGATATATTACCTCGAAGGGTAAAAATATCATTTTTTTGGAATGAGGGCCAAAGGGAAGAAATGTAGGAGTACTTGATTATGAGGGAAACTCAGAGGTACTGAAACTATCATATGTTGGGCTTTACATTTTTAGAAATCTAATTTTGTTTAAGTTGATTATTTTCATTAGAAGGTCCAGGCTTATATTCCAACAACACGTGTTAGAGGAATTGCCCGGAAGGTGGGGACTTACATGGTGATTGCAATCAACCATTTGCCTCGGATCCTAAAACTAAGGTGGAGACTACTAAGAGTTAGTGCATCGAACCTAAGTCTAACAGAATGCAAAAGGGACATATAAGCTACACCCTATGATGCACCGACACTCCGTTTTAAGAGGCAATGCAGTGTCGGACACGTGTCGGACACGGACACGCGTCCGACACGGCACGGACACGTGTCCGACACGTTCTGGGTGTGTCCGGAATAAAAAAATTAAAATTAGAGCCGGACACGCGTGTCGGACACGCGTGTCCGGCTCTAATTTTAATTTTTTTATTCCGGACACACCCAGAACGTGTCGGACACGTGTCCGTGCCGTGTCGGACGCGTGTCCGTGTCCGACACGTGTCCGACACTGCATTGCCTCTTAAAACGGAGTGTCGATTTTCGTGCCGATGTCCGCATCAAAAAAAGCTTAATTTTATTATACAAAATTATTCATATTTATAGATCTATATTATATATCTTAATAAAGAACCAATTAAATACGGAATCATGCATAATTGCCCTAATATAATTGTTAGAGAATTTTTGTAGTCCTCAAACGGATTATATATTTTATGATTGAGCACGACATAAAAATAATGATATATTATCCCGAAGGGTAAAAATATCATTTCTTTATGGACTCAATGATAAAATTTACAATTTAACAGAGATTCCCTCATTCGATGTTTTGGTCGAATGGAGTTTATTTATTTATGGGGTATAGACGTCCCGTAGGGGCAAGCCCCTATGGTTAGTTACATCCCAAGCTTTGGTGCTTGAGAAAACTTTTTATTAAACTAGTGGTTTCCTTGTTTTTGGAAGTCATTTAAATGTTGGCTAAAATTTGATTTTTTGAATATCCATGAAAGTCTTGTTTAAATGATTTTGTCATTTAGGAATTTCAAGGATGAAGGGGTCCAACTTGAGATTAGATTTTTTGGAATGAGGGCCAAAGGGAAGAAATGTAGGAGTACTTGATTATGAGGGAAACTCAGAGGTACTGAAACTATCATATGTTGGGCTTTACATTTTTAGAAATCTAATTTTGTTTAAGTTGATTATTTTCATTAGAAAGTCCAGGCTTATATTCCAACAACACGTGTTAGAGGAACTGCCCGGAAGGTGGGGACTTACATGGTGATTGCAATCAACCATTTGCCTCGGATCCTAAAACTAAGGTGGGGACTACTAAGAGGTAGTGCATCGAACCTAAGTCTAACAGAATGCAAAAGGGACATATAAGCTACACCTTACATGAGGCATAATCAGCCCGACCTTTGGATTTATTATCCTGCCTGGAAAGAACTACCAACTAAACCCTCATAATTGCTTTTAAAATCATGTATTCCTATCTCAATTCATATGAAGAGTGGAAGATTGTTTTATTTATAAAGTAGTGCTTATAGCTTGGCTTTGAGGCCAAGATGTCTATGTATGCAGGGTATGTAGATGCTGACTCACAAATAAAGTAAATTTTTGTTATTTAATCTTTAAGTGAGGGTTTTTCTACATGAGACACTTTTGGGCATGTATGATTGTTTTAAATTTGGAAAACTTGGCTTCTTGTAAGGGAGCCATGCAATTTTCTTTTATTAGGAAATCATGGAACCTAATTTCATTTTTTAGATTGTTTACATGTTAAGAGGTATAAAACTTATTTTTGTCTTAAGAGCCTACCGCATCAAACAATCCAGGTCACATCCAAGCAAAAGCAAGAAAAGATACCTAGGAAAAATGCATGCTTTTCTATTGTGTACTCAGTAAACAATCAATGCATGCTTGTATATATAAATCAAATGCTGGGAATGTAAATAGAGTCCAACTTATTACAACCAGATTTGGCAGCTGAGTTGCCTGCCATTATACAACACAGTTTAATTTACAGACTCTACCTGTGTGGAGGGGGGGTCTTCAAGCTCTTGACTTCTGAATGCACATAGGACTTTACCTTTGACACGTATATCCTTCTAGTCCACTTCTATGTTGCACGGACATGACACGACACAGACACGGGACACGGCTTTTTTTGAAAATATAAGACACGGGTACGGCGCGGACACGACAATACATTTTTTTTATATAGTGTATATATATTAATATAATATCATATTAAAAGTGACAAACAATAATAAATGAATGACACGATAACTTGTCTAGCTTATAATATAAAGTATTTATTACAAAATGTTTAGTATAACCACAAAATATAAGCAAATAATCACTTACTACAACATCAAGCATTCAAGCTTCAACTATTAGGATTAGCTTTAGAGGTTTGTTTTTGGCCTTCAATATCATCATCATTGAATATCACTACTTTTAACTCTGGTTCAACGAGAGAAACATTTGTGATTGTGCAAAAAGAGAGGAGATGAAAATACCTTCACTGTCAAAGAGAAATGAAAATGAGATATTCGATGAATGGGTATTAAATGTAGATGTTGATTTGGTGTTGTGGATATGAAATAAGAAATTTAGTTCAAATCTAGTCAAATATAAGAAATTATATTTTAAAAAAATTATAAACTATTTAAGATATGCGTGTCCAATTTGTTTTTAATATTTTTTTAATCGCACTCGGACGTGTCGGAGGATTGTCGGACGAGTGTTGTGTCGGACACGGTGTCGGACACGGTGTCGGACACTGCACGCCTCTTTGAGGAGAAGTGTCGGTGCATCATAGGTCCACTTCCTTCTTTTGCTCCAAACCCCCACAAGTTTTATACAATTCCTACTTCTATCAAATACATTTAGAAAATGTAAAAGACTCAAACTAGTAATGGATTAGAAGCAGTTTATATAATAAAGCATCACATCTAAAATTTTGTTTAGCACTTAGAGTGCCAAACACCTGCTTCTACCCTATTGGTCATATCTTTTGGAGGGGAGGGGGGTTTAACCAGCACCTGTCATGCAAGCAATTTATTATTTTATGATTTATAGTGCCCCCCATTTAGATATGGTCACTTGCAAGAAGAATATGTATATTTATACATTATCTACTTAAGGGCAAGTGCCCACAACACATACAATCCAACAGAAAATCACTCCACAACATCAAACACATACGCATAAAAAATCATAATCCTAACATGCCTAAGGGGTCGTGCACCTAAGTGTGCGAGGCATGTGTGCCATGTCACACTAAGGGTGTTTGGTTTTATTTTGGAATGAAGATGTTTGATCTTTATCCAAGGAGAGTTTCACTTTAAGTTGTTTATGACTTAAAAATTTTATTTGATTTTTAAATGTTTCATATTTAGGAGGGTTATGAGGAACTCATAAAGTAATCACTGCTTGCTTTTGGGCAAGCCTGTTATTTATGAATCATAAGATAAAATAATGTAGACATCTCACCTTTTGGGAGAGATGATTGATCATTGTATCAAAAGGAACCTAAGTGATTTTTAGGTGTTTTGAAGTTCTCTTAGTGTTTAGATAAGAGAAGTGTCTATCTAATAGAGTAAGGTAGACATATCTAAGAGGTTGCACTTAGGACTTGGTGAAATTTATCCAATAGAGTAGGATGAACTTCAACAGATGGGATAACTCCTAAGGGACATCTATGTATTTAACATTTTACATATCAAAGGAGAGATAAATTGATTTGGTGAAATGAAAATGATTGCTTAGATTTTGGGTCTAAGAAAGACGTCCAACATATAGCTTTTGGGTTACATGTAGAAGAATTCTCCTTAGCTTTTGGAGCTACGAAGAGAATGTAGGAACCCAACATTTAGCTTTTGGGCTAAATGTTGGAAAGCTCCTTTTATCCTTTAGAGCTAAAGAGATGAGAAATCTCCTATGATTGGAAGTTGGAGGAGAGTTGGGGGAATATGCAACTTATGGGTTGCAAATTCGTGAATGTCTTTAAACATTATTTTTTTATGTTCAAAGAGAGAGTTGCACCCTTCCAACTTGGGTTGGAAGGATGGATGAAGATAGGACTTTGAATCCTATGTTTGGGATGAAACTACTTGTTGCTTTTGGTTTAACAAATAGGATGATTTGGAACATGATTGATTCACTCAACATGAGTTGAGTGAAATAGAGTTC